CTCATCCACGGACAATCTCATATATTTTAAGGAGCCACACGTGTAAACTCTGTGTGTTCGTGATGGGGGGGTTGGGGGTGCCTAAGAAGAGTGGGGTTCTGCTTTCCACCTTTCTTCCTAGGAGATCCTAAGAAGGGTGAAACCGCTGGGAAGGTTAGCGGGCAAGACCAGAGTAATGCCTTACTTCCCTCTTAGGAATCCATAACATAAAGCCAACAAACCTGCCCTGTAGGAAAAAATCAGTGTATTCTAAGACCAGAACCCCTCTAAGGGCTGACCCCAATTGTAGTGGTTAATGATGACAATCCAGTGAGGATGCCGGGGAACAAGGCCACACGTGAGTCATGAATAAAGGCAGGGCCACACTCAACCAATCACTACTAGTCAACTAGTCCGGTGTACAGGCCAAAGGAAGTTGTGCAGGATTTTCCAGATTATCCAGGTATCCATCACTACTGGTCTCCACGTGGGCAGCATTTTGTCTGTCAAGTCCCTCTTCCCGTAACCTGCCTGGCACAGTGTCAACGCTAGACTTGATGCAAGTTCTCACTCAGAGAAACGGAGCACTGTGAAGCCATCCTATTTTGACATTACTTTATGCTGAATTAGAAGTTTATCCCCCGCACACACAACGCGGGGAGGGGAGGCCCAGGACAGAGTCCCACTTCCTACTTCTACTTGATCAAAATTTACAAGTGATGACAACAAGACTAACCTGGGTTGCTTCAGGACTGTGCTTCACTAATAACACCTTGCCAGTTTCAAGGCACGTTCACGTACTCTATCCGACTGACTCTCTACAAGAACTACGGGGTGTCCATAAGGCTGCTGGTCGCCTCCCCACAGCCAACCAAACCCACGTTCAGAGCTGTTATCATCCAATGGAAGTTCAGGGGCGCGTACCAGATGCCAGCCACTGTGTGCAGATGCCGAAGGTCGGCCTGAGACAGTCCCTACCACAAAGCATCTCCGCGTCCAACAGGGAGGCCCTGTATCAACACAATCACGACGCAAGCTGAAAAAGCCAGCATCAAAGGTGTGGGAACACCCTGGGCCTGAATAATCACGGACCTATTGGGGCCAAAAGAAAGGTGTCAGGCGAGGCTAGAAGCTGGGACATAGGCCAGGGCTCCTGCCTCCCTGGCGCAATGCACTCTGCCCTTCTCTTCAAGGCTCTGTGCACACCCTTCTCGGCCTAAGCTAGCTTTCCAGGTCCTCTCCACTCACATCTAACCTTACACCCTTTACTCATCTCTACATCCCCCACACACATCTAAAATGAGGCCAGCACAAACGGATGCAACTAAGAAGCGTTTTGTTCACTGGATCCAATCTCATCTGTCAACTCCTAGAAAGCACTCAAACATACAACCACAAAACAATAAGAATTGAGGGAATAACAAATACACTGGAGCAGAAATGAGCAATCTGCAAACCCGTATCTGAAATGTGTAAAGTCTGCATCTACATGATTTTCCCTTGATGAAGAACTATAACAAATTCAGGATAGTACTTCCTGTCAGAACCATTCCTAATTTGAGTTTTTCAGACTTCTCAAGAGCATCTAATCACAAAGTATTCTCAAGTCCACCCACTTCTTACTGCACTTCCATTTAAAAAAATGTGCCGTTCATCATAGAACTTTAAAAAATTTCAGTGTTGAATTCAAAACAGCTGCAAGTAGATGCTGTATTATCTGTAAAACAAAGGGGACAATCGCGCCTTCCACCCTGAGCTTGGTGAGGGTTAAATCAGTGAGTCCAAGCAAGCACACGCTTACTTAGATGGTTCTTTCAAAAATTCACTGCCCCAATCTAAGCCCACTTACCAACCTGAAGCTTAGTAACTGGACTATGAGAAAATGGATTCTAAAAACTGAAGATGCGTTTGTTTCAAAAACAGAGTTAAACATTTAGATGTGTTTCCTCACCGGCCGCTGGCTGCCCTGTAACTGGGCAAGAACTTACTCTTTGTGCAATGAATCCAAGCGCAACATCAGGACACAAGTCTTGGGGAGAGATCATTCTAGATGCCGAAGCCACCCACCTGTGAAGTGCAGTTACTCCAGTCTATTTTTAACAAACAACCGTTCGTTGTTTTTTAATTTTTTAGAATTTTTAAGAATTCGGAAATGGGGCAACAACCTCGTTCTAAGTGTTCAGTGCTTTGCGTATGTTCTTTTGGCCTGAACGACGCAGGCAGGCAGGTGCTGTTACAAGCCGGTAACACAGGGGGACACGGACACACAGGCTGGAGGTAGGCTCACAGGTCCTGGGTACAGACACCCTCGGGAAGCCCAGACCTGCAGCCTGAAGCTCGGAGAAACACCGCCTCACTGCTTGGACAAAAATGGTCATTCCCATCGAGACTCACGTGCTTGAGGCCAAACCACCCAGTCAAAGCGCAGGGCTCGGTGACCCGCCGGGAACCCCAAGGCTGGCGGCCTAAGGGGTGGGGGGGTGGGGGGTGTCCAGTTCTCCGGGTGAGGGCCGGGCGGGGCTCCCGGGATCCGGGCGGAATCCGGGCCAGGGTCTGGGGTCCGGAGGGAGGGCCGGGGTCCTGGATAAAGGCTGGGCGGGGGTCCCGGGGTCCGGGGTGAGGGCCGGGCGGGATCTGGGTCGGGGTCCGGGGTTCCAGGGTCAGGGCCGGGTGGGATCCGGGCTGGGGTCCGGGGTCCCGGGGTCCGGGGTGAGGGCCGGGTGGGATCCGGGCCGCTCACCTTCCGACAGCTCCAGCTCCAGCTCGGCCAGGCTCTCCCGCACCTCGGCGGGCAGCGGCACCGCCTCCAGCGG